AAACAACCCATATATTTAACGTTGGCTTTGTACTTCTCTTGGTTGTTGATTTTTTATATGTATAATTACTGCTTTCGTTGTATAATCCTGTGTTTTGTACTTTTGTTCTAATGCTGTACTACAAGTGTTGATTTCTCCTGTATACTGTAATGCACGATTTATTTGCTTTTAATTTTGCTGTTTTGTATTCTATTTTCTACTGTAACCCCCCTACAACAATGCCCAATGGGCGATGTAGGTACTTGTAATAAATAAATAAATAAACAGTCGCAAGCGGAGGCCTCTGTGGGCGGCCCGTCGGTGTCTTCGGGTTGTCGCCGGACATCCACTTTTGGTACTCCAGCCCCACTCGGTCCTTGAACAGCTTGTTTAGCACAGCATCGATCGCTTGGAGGGTGGACGTAATATCACCTGGTATCACGGCAAGGTTCGTTTTTCCATCGCCCAGTGCGCGCTTCACAGCGTCGGTTAAGTGACCACAAAACGCATCTAACACCAGCATGCTGCAAAGACACAGCAGTGCTTTCCAAAAGAACTTGTTTTTGGCTAGTTGGGGCATACTTGGTGCAGAAGACTGAGACACAAAAAACATATCGTGAAGCAGGAAGAGCAGAAGAGAAGAAAGAACAGCGCCAACTACCAGCTGTTTAATGACCGTCTAAGAAACGCACAGGAAAGAAGACAAAACCGCGCTTGCGTTCACAGCCAACAAAAATCGCACAGCCTCATGATCAAGGCACTAAGTTATCCACAAACTGCATTTCTGTTGAGTACAACACAATAGATGTATCATTGATACAATTGGGCCCTTTCTTTTTGATAAAATAGGCTTCCAAGAGCTCTCTAGCTGTTTGTTTTTTGCCTCTACCAAGAATCACCGTTTTTTCAAACATTGGCACACTTCCGCAGGCTTTACAGTGCACTGGAAGATGCGCATGATCACTTTTGCCTAAACTATTGGCATGCTCCCTCAGTCTGTCATTAATGCTATGCCTCATTTGACCGATATAGAACTTGCCACAGCCTAGGGGAGTCCCATATACCACGCCTTGTGCGCAGCGCTTAAAAAGTCTTGTGTGTTGCTTCTAGCAACCCCTTTGCTCATCGCATATGATACGCGGGCACAATTGAGCAAGTTTGTTGGGAGCTGAAAAAACGACTGGAACACCGTAACGGGAAGCCACCTTCTTGAGGTTATGGCTCACACGGTGTATATACGGGACCACCTCAGGCTTAACCCGCTCTCTCTCCTTCCACCACGGAATTCTACCACGGAACTAACTACGGACTGAGGGTAGCCGGCCTTGGAAAGTCTTTGAAGTTGACGCATAAAGCTAGCTTGCATAACATGCTCACATGATCTGCGTAGTTCCAACTCTCAGCAAAGTAGAGCGATTTCACGTTTCACAGTCTTTGAATGCACTGAATCGTAAAGCAACAATTCCTTCTTACTTAAACAGTTGGTAGTTGGCGCTGTTCTGTCTTCTCTCCTGCTCTTCCTGCTTCACGATATGTTTTTTGCGCCTCAGTCTTCTGCGCACAGCAGTGCACCTAGCTGACGGTTCCAGACTACTCGTATCCATTCGAGCATCATGGCCTCGTCCATGTATCCCTTTTTGTTGACGCGAACGACAACACCGGGTGGGAACACTTCCTTCGGCATTGCCTTACGTTTGAAAATGATGAAGGGCGGAAGCTTTCTACCATCTGCCATGCATGCCATCATGACGGTGAAGTGCGAGTGCTCGTTGCCAGTGACAACCGCTTCAATCCTTGGCGCCACGTTGCATGATCGTGTGTGAGAAGGCATGTCAAACCACATGGGGTCTCATTGGCATTGTCAATCTGCCCCCTCATGTAGTTCTGCTCCCGAAGCCAATTCACGAAGGCACGAAAGTTTATATGCTGTCCTCAAATTGTCTGGAAACGTCTGGCAGATGAAGGTGCGCCACCGGAAAAAAAAAAGCCTTTGCGTCCATGATCGACGCACCCAAGAGATTGGTGCACAAAACTCTTCTCTCGTGAGCCCATTTTCTCGAGGGATTCCACGCTTTCTTGAGAATGGTGTCCACAGCCTGCAGCAAGCACGCATGAACTTCCCACACATAGTTCCCTAGCATATTTTCCAGCTGTGGATGAACCGCACCCTTCACGCACGAAATGACATTTTTGAAGATTGCACATCTGCGCTTCCCTTTCTGCACCCACCAATAGTGCACGCTTTTTTTTTATACAACAAAGCTGCGCTGAGCAGCCATATCCCATTCGCTTCTGCGAACTCAACAACCTCTAGTTTAAACGCAGGCTGAGTACTGTCTTCTCGTACTGCTATCATATTCAGTGAACGACAAAAAAAAAAAAACAAAGAACACTAAAAATGGAACAACAATGTCAAGCGGTAGCGAGAACTTGGAACAGATCCGAGCAAATCACGCCACAAAAAAACAGACACGAGAGAAAAAAACAACAACCTGCTATTGGATTTGAATGCAAATATGGCCATGTCCAGCTTCTCATGCACATGCAAGCCACATGTTGCCAGACAGCGGTGCACTGTCGACTAGACACCGCTATATAAGACATGGGGCGACTTTAGCTCGTTGTTTCATTGGAAATATCTCGACTTATATTCCGGTTTATACGTAACTTGACGCAAAAGCAGATGGTAGCTTACATAAGCAAGACGAAGAGTCAGTACATAGGGTGCTTGTATAATGTCTTGATTTGTATATTGTATGGAAGAGATTAGCGTTGGCGATATTTGTGCAGATGCGAACCAGGTGTAAGTTGGGCCTTGTAGAAAACGGCCGGGAGGACTTTCTATGAGCAGATGGCTGACTTCGCCTGATGGGAATCGTAAAACTTCGGCTCTGTGCTCGAATTCGTGAAGGCTGCTATGATTGTGATTAGGATTCGAATGCATCATATGGCTGGTTGTAATCGAATCTTTATTATAGTCTTGGACTTGCTTTTGCTGACGTTGCTGGATGTTGATGTGGAACTAATGCGGTGGGAGGCCTTCTTGAACATCAGGCCTGTTTTCTTGACAACTTGATGCGGGGTCCAGACAGCAGCTGGTAGTCTGTGGGGTGTTGTCATGCAGTTCGGGCAATGAAAATAATGCTTCAGAGTTGACAGAAGGCTCTTCAGAAGCTTCTTTACGCTGTTCACTGCGAGGGGCTCTTGCGCCGGGAAGTGTGCGACGTTCGATGCGTTGAGCCTCCTGTTTTCCTTAGATTGTCCGATTGTGTATGCGCTGGATGGTGATGCATGAGCGTGTGCGGAAGGAGCATGGCTTGACAGGTATTTTCTCGATGCATAAGCTCGTCTATCGTGAACTCGGCGTCCTTATGAGGCAATCGCTGAGCGTAAGGAGCGCTTGAAGAGCATCGTGATGAAGAACCAGGTGGTAAACCACGTATGACAGACTAAGAATGAAGGCATCAATTGGGTGAGCAACGTCTCGTGTCTTGTGCTGGAGCGACAACTTTGAAAATACCGTCCTTCGGGAAGAGAAACCTGATGGAAAGCTATGTCCCTTGAGTAAAGATTGTGCACTGGACGGCCGAGTGTTATTGTCTCCAGACGGTTGGTAATGAGAAAGTCCTTGTCGTAGTCGTTGAAACGGGCAATCATTTCTTTTCTGATATTTTGCCACAATTTGTTGTGTTTGAATATGTGGGTGCGGTAAGATTTGCGTGCCTCACCAGTAACGTAGTCGCTGAAATTAGGAACCATCTCCCGTTACGACCAGGATGCAGCGGTGGGGTGGAGCTCGAAGAGGTTGAACCAGTCTTTTACGGGTCCGTCGTCTGCTGATCCGGTGTACTTGGGGATGTCAGGGTCAGCAGATTGGTTCTGACATGATGCTGGTCGATGTGTAATTCTAGGCTCCTATACGGTAGTCCATGTACGCTCCGGGTGTTATGCGGAGAACTGCGTCGTTGATGAGCGACTGATGAAGGAGCTGGCAGGTCTTCATCCCATCCACTTGTGTGACGCTATGATGACTGGGAGCCGTGGCCTGGCTTATACCCCATGTTTATTCTATTCTCACTTCTCTCATGCTCTGCCTCTACTATCAGTTACTGCCGTTCTACGTCTCATACCTTCAGTGCTACCCTTCTTTTATTTTATTTCTTCTCCCTCATTGTCTCTCTCTTTTTCCCACAAGACCACGTACTACTTATGAGACACATAGATGCAGCTGATGCAGTCGCACCAAAGCAAACATGTGTACATTTATTGAACTACTTTGTCGACGATGTTCGGGCCTCGTCACGAGGGGGCTCGTGAGAAAGGTTCCGTGGTGCTGTCGCCCATGGAGCAGCCGCAGGAGACGTTGATCTTGATTGCCGCCCCAATGCTGAAAGAGACTTCTTTGTGGCCACCTTTCCTTGCTGCTAGGTGGCACTTTCACCTAACCATAATAATGAGATAATGATGGTAAAACTGCGCGAGCACGGTGCCGCCTACCGCTCGGCAGCTGTTTAAACTTACATGCAGCCTATCCGAGAGACACTTGTGTGCCACAAAGCACAAACGTCCTTTACAAGGTGTAGCACCCTTACCGAAAAAAAACCCAAAAAAACTAGCTTTTAAATTTCCATTTCTTTCCTCCATTCATAGTGAGGGTCTCATTCTGGAAGACTTATTGTCTTGAGGTAGTATGCGAGGTATTATTTGTCTGCTGTCAGCTTGTAATAAGGTGATGCCAATGACAGGCAGAAAAGAAGTGTGTCCACGGCTCGCCGTCATGGCTACAGACAGTGTGACTGACGGCCCCAACTTAATGCACATACAAAACTCAATAAAGGGAATGACCGCCACTGTGGCTGTCTTGGTAGAGCAGTGGAGGCGCTATTCTACTTTACTACAGTGCTACAAATAACGTTCCTTTTAATTTTCCTTGGCATCATTGTCTCTTTGGTTTCATCAATCTTGTTACAACCAAGTACTTTGTTGTGCACCATGGAAAACTGGAATGATGTGCCATGCAGTGTGGGGCTTGGCATGCTGGCCGTGCTCATCATCAGCTGTTGCTCGCTAGCGGGCCTGGTTATAGTGCCTTTCCTGAGCCATGCCCTGTACCACCGGCATTCTCATGGTGTTCGAGGGCCTGGCTGTGGGCTCCTGCTGGGCAGTGCTGTGTTTCACTTGATTCCGCAGGTGAGTCTCGCCTTAGACATATTTTCAACAGTACCTAGATAGAACGATGTAGTACTTTGTTTTATCGTGAATTTGCTAAATTGAAATTTCACTCTAAGGTGTTGTCAAAGGCTTCTTTTAAAGGGCAGCTCTGCGGCACTTGTTCTTTCATTCAGCAGCATCACTGTTGCTAAAGAAAACATAACTGATAGACAGGAAAAAAATAAAGTGAGGGAAAAAAAGAGAAAACCCCCCAGATTGAATGAGGTTTGAATCCTGCACCTGTAACAGAGCCAGTGTGGCACTTGAAACTCATCTGCAAAAAAGGACACTGACGCAGAAACAAGACGAGACAAGCTGCGTTCGATAAGAAGGAACAGCAAGAATCTTCTTTTTTATTTTTCTTTAATGTGCATGCTCTTTGTGCCCCTTGTATTCTTCTTCTTCTCGTTGTCTTCGGCGAGTTAATATAGCTTCCGGCCTGCATGAAGTTTTGTTGTCCTAATTGGAAACAACCTTCAAGTTGGTAGATATGTTGTACAGGTCTCCGAATGAGTTTTCCATTAGTTTTTAAAAAGGCAGGAACGTATCTTCCTATCGACTCCCGAATAAACTTCCATGACTTTGGCCAGGTTCCAAAGTGATCTAGGAGTGCGTGAACCAAGCAATACGATGTCTCCTTGGTTCACTCTCGTTTCTTGTTTACTTGCGTAAGCTTGCTCTCTCAATTCCTTCAGATATTCCTTGTTCCATTTTTTCCACCAATCTTTCATGACGTTTTGCCGCTTTCTCCAGATTTCTTCAATGTTGACTTCATGTTGATATTCGTCATTGCCAGGAAGTCTTTATTTTCCATCTATTATGTCAGCTGGTACAATAGGTAGCGGCTTATCTGGTTCGTTGTATACATAAGTTAACGGCCTGTTCTTAAGCACCGCTTCAACTTCAGTGGTTATTGTTTCCATCTCTTTCTTGGTTAGCAGTCTCTTTCCGATGACTTTCTTTATTGATGATTTCATGCTTCGTATTATTCTTTCATAGAAGCCTCCTCTCCAAGGCGCTTGTTTGGCGATAAACTTCCACTTTATTTTGTCTCCTTGGTTAGCTCTTCTAGATAATTGTTGTAACTATTTCAGCAAACGATTGATTTCTCTGTTAGCTTTTCTGAACGTCCTTGCGTTGTCACTATATATTGTGCGACATGAGCCTTTTCTCGCTATAAATTTTCTGAATGCATGTTAGAATGCTTCTGTTTTACAGTTGTCGACAAGTTCGAGATGTACAGCTCTTGTTGTTGCACGCACAAATACTGTGATGTACAGTTTTGTCATGCCTTTCACGGCGTCTTTTATAAGCATCGGGCCTGTAAAGTCTACACCAGTCACTTCAAATAGTTGACGGTGGTTTACTGTGTCAGCAGGCAGGGGTGCTGTGTCTTGCTTAATTGGTTTAGCATTAAATCGTTGATACTTTAAACATCCATGAATAACCTTCTTCACCAGCTGTCTTTTTTGGATTATCCAATATTTCATTCTAAGCTGCGACAGTGTTGCACTGACTCCTCCATGCAACGCGAGCTGATGCACATGTCGTACTAGCAGCTTTGTAGCAGCGGTCCACTTTGGTAGCATAATTGGATGTCTATTGTTGTACGTCAGTCCACTTTGAGACAGACGACCCTTGTACCTTATTAGTCCTTGTTCATCTTTAATGACTTCTCTACCACAAAGAACATCCTTGTGGTCTTAATCTTATTGCTCTTGTTGAGTATAATATGTTCCCGTATCTTTGTTGCTCCAATTTTATTATCGTCGTCTCTGCCTTCTTTAGTTCCTCAAAACTCATATCAGCGATTATCTGCTTCTTTCTTATAATCTGTATGTATCTCAGAACCCAAGCTGCTACTCTGAGCAATCTTATACAGGTTCCATACTTCTCTGCGTCGATCACGACCGGAACTGACGTGTATGTGTTTGTTGCATAACATTCACTACTCTCACTGTCTTCTTCCGTTTCCGTCTGCCCTGTGGTTTTGTTTTCCGTAACAAGCCACTTTGGACCATGCCACCATAGGTCCGACTGTATCAAAGCCTTTGCGCTTACACCTCTGGTAGCCCCGTCACGGTGGTCTAGTGGCTAAGGTACTCGGCTGCTGACCCGCAGGTCGCGGGATCCAATCCCGGCTGCGGCGGCTGCATTTCCGATGGAGGCGGAAATGTTGTAGGCTTGTGTGCTCAGATTTGGGTGCACGTTAAAGAACCCCAGGTGGTTGAAATTTCCGGAGCCCTCCACTATGGCGTCTTATAATCATATGGTGGTTTTGGGACGTTAAACCCCACATATCAATCAATCATTACACCTCTCGTCATGATATCAGCTGGGTTCGCTTCATTTGCAATATATTTCCAGTCTGATAGCTTCGTTTTCTTTTCTATCTCCTTCACCCTATTCTCTACAAATGTGTCTCGTTTTTTCTTTCCGTGTAGTCAACTAAGAACAATGGTCGAGTCAGTCCAGTATCTTGTAGCATTTATATTTCTGACAAATCCGCTTCTGACGTATTCAGAAATGCGTGCAGACAGCAACGCAGCCATCAACTCAAGTCGTGGTAACGAGATTTGCTTCATTGGTGCTATTCTTCCTTTTGCAATTAGTATTTCAGCATCCTTTTCCTCTCGTAGTGATTTATCAAATAGGCCACTGTTCCGTATGCATATGGACTTGCATCTGAAAACAAGTGAAGTTCCGTGTGAATAGGCTTCTTTTTTTGTCTTACATCAAACCATCGTGGTACACTGAACTCTTGAATCAATTCCAGCTCTTTAATCCATCTCCTCCAAGTCTCCGTTTCATCATCTGGCAGTGAGTCCTCCCAAGACATTTCTCGCTTGGCTTGTACCATGAATGGAGTAAAGATTCTCAGAGGATCGTATACTCTTGCAGTGAGCTGTAACATTTGGCACTTCGTTAGCACACCGCTGGTATCGATGTCTTTTATGTCAAACGATGGTAGGTACAGCCTATCTTCCTTGAAGTTCCATCTGATGCCAAGGACCTTTATTTCAATGGAAGCCCCGAAGCTTGGTTTTTCCTCTTTCTTTATGTTTAGTAGTAATCTAGGCTCATTTGTGTTGAACTTTCTGAGAGTCATTGACGCCTCTTGAAAATCTTCTTTGATTCCCAGTAAAGTTTTTCGGCTTCCTTGGGTGATTCGTCTCCCATTATTATGTCGTCAACGTACATGCTTCTCCTCAGCTGTTTAATCATCTCCGGAAATTTCTCCTCCAACTTGCTGAAGTGGTGCTGTATTGTTGCTGCGAGCAAGAAAGTACTGGGGGCAGTGCCAAACGTCACCATTGACGTGCTCCATGTTACGATCTTCTCATCGCTTCCACTCAGAATTTTATCCCACCAAAGGAAACGCAGCGTGTCTCTGTCTTCCTTATGTACTGAAATCTATAAGAATGCCTTCTCAGTATCAGCTGTCATTGCAATGCGATGGTGTTGGAAGTTCATCAGCATGTGCACGAGATCACAATTGAGATTTGGTCCAGTTTCGAGGTTGTCATTTAGAGATGACCCTTTTGTGGACGATGATGACTCATCAAATACTATTCTTATCTTTGTTGTTTGACAATCTTCCTTGATGACGGCTTGAGGCAGCATGTAGTAGCAGTGTGCCCTCATTGGTGCCCTTTGTTCCTCGGCCACTTCTGCTACTCCACTAGTCAAGTACTCTCTGATGGCATTGTCGTAACGTCGCAATACACTTTCGTCTTTCCGTAACATACGAGTGAGTTGCTTCAATCTGTTCATTGTGGACACCCTTGTTTTCATCAAACTCCATGGTGTCTTTCCACGGAAGTCATACTGAGTATCTTTTCTCTTCACACTTTAAGTTCTTGCTAAAATAATCCATCACACTCTCTCCTTTCTTTGCGTCTTGCTCGGTGCCCTTTATGCCCATGGTTTCTATGTCCCAGAAATGCCTTAGCTCTGTCTTTATGTCGGACTTGTCCACTTCAACGTGAAGTACCATAACAGTTGACCGTTTCATTAACGTTGTGGCTAACTTAGTTTTGCCCTGCACCGTCCAATCGAATATGATCTCTGTTGCTGTCAGCTTCTCTTTCAGTTTTCGGTTGCCGCCTGTCATTATTTGCCAGTACTGGTCTGATCCAAACAAGGATTCAGATTTCTCTGCAGTCTGTGCATAAAATCGTTAGCTAACTTTAATTCGTCATCTCCATACTTCTCCTTCAGTAAAACTAGCAGGAGCGGTATTTTTTCTTTTGATATAACGTCAACCTCGAGTGCTTCCAACAAAACCTCTTCGCCACTATATGTGCTTCTAAGTCTGACTTCAACTGAATGCATAGTCTTTTCCTCTTGTCCTTCTCTGAAAGAGCCTATGGTCAGTCTTTCTTTTCCTTTTGATCGTGCAACCAAGCTTTTTTGACAAGCTCTGAAGAATGAATGTTCTTTGGCTACCAGTGTCCAACAGATCCTGACAATAGTACGACTTGTTTTTACCTTCTGCTATTGCCATTGCAGTCTGCAGAAAAATGCTGGATGATATATTCGTATATTGGCAGGTTGACCTTTGCTCTTCCTGATTTTCATTTTTATTTTTACCTTGAATAGCTCCTGTGCCCTGCCCTGTGAGTTCTTTTGCTCGGCGCATAGACATTGCGAGCCTTTTCCGGCATATCTTGCATCTTATGCTTGCCTTGCATATTTTGGCGGTATGTCGAGGCCTCGTGCAATGGAAGCATCCATGAGACTCTTTTAGCTTCATTTTCTTCTCTTCATATGGCATATTCTTTCTGCAGTCATCAGCATAGTCGGTATCAGTCTCACAGAATATGCAAAACTTTGCTGTGGTGTTCTGAAAAATTAACGATTCTTTTCTGTTGCCTACTGTAAAATTTGTTGCTGTGACTTTCCTTGCACTCTACCAATTCCTCTCTGCACTCAACTTGGTCTTCTGTATACATCATCAAGTGCTTCAGAGTTTCTTC